CTGGTGACAACAGGTGATTAAATTGGAGGGCTCTTCTCCCGTGAATCAGTGAATGATACTGTTATGGGGCTGAGTTAGTTGTCACAGAACCCAGTTCTTACTAGGCTGGATGAGTGCAGCCCAGCCTCCTCTCGGCCTTGTGCCTGCCGAGTCACCCTCCCTGTGGTGTGCGCTGGCGCTGTGCTCTTCCCCCTTCCCAGCCTCCGCTACTGTTACCAGTGACCCAGCCAGGGCAGGAGCAAAGGGACGGACCCTCACACAAGTGTCACAGCCAGTGCATTCCTGCAGCCAATGCTTGGCTAACGATGGCCGAGTGGCAGTGAGTCTCTTCCAGGGACAGGCAGAGAACTAAAAGCAGGGAGGGAGTCTATGCCTGCATGTTCTTGGGAGGATTCTTTCCCGTCATCCGTTTGGCATTTGGTGGCTCTGTCTTCAGGGAGCTGGGAGTTAGGAATTGCAGTTACTCTTCTTGTCACTCATCCATATGTTCACACACCAGCGCATTCCTCAGTAAGCCTCCCAGGTATGCAGGTCTGCAAGACAAGAGGCTTCCTTTTTGACCTGTCTGTTTTTTAAATGCTGTTTTGTGCTCAACAAGAAGAGATCTTGTTCCTGTGCTGAACACTAAGTTCCTACATGTGTTTCAGATCAAATTGTGAGCTGTCAAGTTCATAAAGAACATGTCCCTCAGGGCCGGCTCTGAACAAGCGAAAAGAAGGCCAGCCGTGACCCAGTGCCTGTCTCTGTGCCCTCCAGGGACAGACAGTGGCTTCCGTCTTTCCCAGCCTTCAGATGGCTTCTGTATCTTTGACCTGAGGCATTCACATCTGGAGATGGTAAACAGACTTGGAACAGATCAGTGATTAATCAGTCCAGCAACAGGCACCCTGTGGGTCCATCACAGAGGTGGGAAGCAAGCCCTGGGGAGCACAGGTCAAGCATTGGTAGAGTTCTTGTATCAGCCCATCTGTGGGTACTGTAACACAGTCCCTGAGGCAGGCTGACTTTATAAAGTGTAGAGGCCTACCTAGCTCTCAGTTTGGAGGCTCAAGGGCCAGGCCGTAGCATTGGCTCAGTCCTGGTATCGGAAGACCTTCTCATTTACAGTGTTCCAGGGTGGCACCTGATACCCCCTGGCAGAGATAGGGCATATATGTTTATGTACCGTCTCACTCTTCATAAAGCCATCAGATTTGGTCATAGGGGATCTACCCTTGACCTTACCCTTTACCTCATAAAGGCCTCACTTTTAAATAACAGAGACAGATTAACTTCTACTCTCATAATACCATTAACGTGTGACTTTGGGGGTTAGACTGTGGCATGTGGTTGAGGGGGAAAAAACCATGCTGATATCAGAGTAGATCCAGAGGAGTTTACCCAGCCTTGAAAGTTTAGGAATTTAGAAAAAAGAAATGGATTAATTTGCTCTCTATCCCCGTTCCCCCCTTAAAATAAAAATAAGCTTCACCGTGTTAAGTGTGTTTATGTGCACAGTCCAGGGGCATTAACTACTCACATCGTGGTGCAGCCATCCCTACTACCCATCTCCATAAATGTTTCTTCTTCCCAAACTGGAACTCTCTACCCTCAGGCATCATTTCCTCTTCTGCTCCTCAGGCCCTGGGAGCCATCGAGCTCCCTGCCCTCTGTCTGAGCTGCGTGATGAGCTCCTGACATGAGCGGCCTCCACCAGTTGCATCTGTCCTTCCGTGTCTGGCTTGCTGTACTTAGTGTAAAGTCTTGCGGGTCCGTCCAAGTGGCGGCATCAGAACTTCCTGCCTTTAGAAGGCTGGAGAGTATTCCACCGAGGACGCTTGCAAACGATATGTATCCATTCACCCATGGGTTCTTCCAACCTGGCTGTGAACGCAGGGACCTGTTCATGGGCCTGTTTGAGTGCCTGCTTCCAGTGGACTTTTTGACTTTTTTTTTCCAGACAGGGTCACACTGTGCAAGCCAAGGATGGCCTTGAACTCACTATGTAGAACCTTCCTGTCTCAGCCCCTCCAGTGCTGGGATTAGAGGCCTGCTCCCCTGACCTGCTTCAGTGGGATCTTTTTATGTAAGCTGTTGGGAGCTTGTGTGATCCCTTTCTTGTTTCCTGGCTGTGAGCCAGAACCAAAGCCTTGGTTCTACCTTCTGCTACTACAAGCCAGCAGGGCTTGCCCTGGGGCAAGTCACATGCCGTCTCTGGGCCACCCGCTCCTTCCACCTCTCCGCTTCTCCTCGGTGACTGTGCGAGGGCACTCAGCCACTCCTGAGTTCTGGGTCTTCCTTGGCGGGTGAGGAGTAGAGTGGACCCTTGGTGATCAGATGTGACCCTGCCAAATAGCTTCGCAATGCGATGCACACCTGTGTGTGAATTTCAGCAACTGCGTCAGCCAGCAGCCAGCCTGCAGGAGCAGAGAGGAAGCTGTGGAGAGGCTCAGAGGGATGAGAAGGGATCACAGGAAGAACTGAGAGTGTTAGATGTAGGCACCAACTCCCCCCTTGTTATGCAAATGCATACTAATAAAAACAAAAGTTAAAAAATTTGACAACCTGGCTCAGGAGAAAGGTAGGCAGCTCCACAGATATTGCCAGGAAGCAGCAGACGGTGATGGCACCAGGGTAACTGCTAAATTCACCTTATTTTCAAGTAAGGGCTGGCTCAGAATTATTTTTCTTGGCAAAAGGTGCTGTTCATAGGAAGCAGCAGGCCAGCTGTCTGTCTCGCACAAACTGCTTCCTCTAACTCCAGTACATGCAGAGGCACAGGCCCTGGTCTGTGAGCTTCACATGGGGGTGACTACACTGGTCAGGGGCAAGCGACAGAGAAACAGGAGAGAAGCCAGACAAAGAAGAGCCAATAAAAAGGAACTGGTGTGGCATGGGCCTATAATCCTAGCACTGGGGAAGCTGAGGCAGGAGGGTTGCCATGAGTTTGAAGTCAGCCTGGGCTACATAGTCAACCTAAGGCCAGTTTGAATTTCAAAGTGAGACCCTGTCCCAAAAAACCAAAAGAGGCAGCAGGAGTAAGGGGGCGGGTAGCAAAAGAGATGAAGATAATGGTGAGAAACTAGAGACAGCAAGTTGGGTCCCCCATAAACGTGAAGCATTCTACTGCGCCAAGCGTCAGCGTCGCCGACATCCATGAGCAGGCCGCACCCTTTCTCCTCAGTTTCAAGATACACATTTCCATTGACGCAATCCCAGGAAACATCCAAGAAATTGCAGAGGGGAGGCGAGACTAGGTACATAGTTAACTTTGATCACCACTAAGGAAAAACAAGAGAAAAAAGATAATTAAAAGAAGGATAAAAAAGAATAATACAGCAGGCACACATGGGCTAACGTGGTGTTTCTCCAGAGAGCTAAGCGTTGGAAAACCTAGCTCAGATACCTTTGTGGAAAAAGCGTACATGGAAGGCTTGCAGTAAGTAGAGACGGAAGACTTGACAGCGACAGTGGCTGCTAAAAGCCACGCCAACTAGAAGCTCCAGGTGTAGCGGCCTTCAAGTGAGGGTAACTGTCACGTGGAGATGGGCTTTGCCCTCTCAACAGGGTGAGCGGGGAGCCTCGTGAACCCCCTTATGCTGTTGGCGAGGCTTTGCTGTTGAAGCTAGATGACTGCCGTGCAAGGCCTGGTTCATTTATGACCATAGCTGCAGAGGTGCCCAAACACTGCATTTTAAAGCAGAAGAAGGAAAGAGGGACGGGTGCCTCAATCGTGGCTTTTTTTTTTTTTTTTTTTTTTTGGTACCAGGAATCCAACTCAGGACCTCATGCTTGCCAGGCAGGCACTGTCACTGAGCTGTATCCCCTGCACTCAGCGTGCCTTTTTAAGAAAGCTCACTACTCATCATATGGGGACATTTCTTTTCCCTTGTGCCTTGGTTGTCAAGGCAGTTGTTTGCAGTTGTTCCTCTGACCTGGCTCCTGCCTTGTTGCCTCTGAGAACAATACACAGGTCTCTCATGGCCAGGGTCCCTGCTGCAAATCAGTAAAGTAAGGCAAGTGGAAAATTAAAAAAACAAATGTCAGAAAGAGAGGCAAATGGGTAAACTGCAGAGGTCCCCAGATCTCACCAGACTTATATGTGGAAGGCTCTGAGTTCACAGAATCTTCCCAAGGTGGTGGATGATAGCTGGTGAGTGGGTGGGGACGGGGCCCATCTGACCTGCCCCTCTCTCCTTGCCATCCCATTGCCACCGTGTTCCCTGCTGGGTGACAGAAGAGGCACAGGGCAGTATATAAAGTGCCTTGCAGGGGGAGTTGACATCTATGAGAACCCACCCTTGAATGACCCTCATCCCAACACAGCCCACTTCCCAAAATGAGTCCCTGAGGTGACCTTTCTCATAGCAGCTGTTTTGACCTGCAAAATGTGGAATTCTGGAAACAAGACCTCTGCTTCCCACACACTCTTCCTGCCAACTGTGTCCCAGCACCTCTGGGTCTCCTGGGTGTCTGGGTCCTGTGACTGCTCCATTCCTAAGACTTTTTTGGAATTTCTGGCTCTGAGAGATGTGCGGATAGCATCTCCTCTGGCATCAGCTATTTGTCTGCCGTCTTTCTCAGGAAATACCTGGCTCCTTAGAATATGTGTCATGGGCCAGGAAAACGGGAACACTAGGAGAGGGGGGACACATGGTGTTATGGGGGAGGCAGTGTGACAGGGTGTATCCTAAGGGCTGGGGAATGGGGTTGTGAGTATCCTGAACATGGAGGTGGCCTTTATGTGAGACGAGATGGAAATATGAGTTGCAAATGTACCATTCCCACAAGGAGATGGGGCAGACGTGGACGCTTTTGGTTTTTGAAGAGTTTGGAAATTGTGTGATTTTTTGAGGACCCCCTCCCTCCTTTTCCACACCAGAGCTTTGCTCAGAAGGCACATTAATGCAGGTGTCGCTGGGCACCAAATGGGAAGGGATGCCTGGCATTGGGGGTCTGAAATGCTAGAGTAGGAAATGGCTGGAGGTAACCTGAGACTTCTGTTGAAATTGTTTCTGCAGGTCCTCACAGCTGGGCTGTCCGTGCTGCTCTTCGATGTGGTCTTGACCAGTGCAACCTTGGGATGGTGAGTCTCATGTGGAGGAAGGAAATGCAAATTGGTTTTGGGGTGTCATTGGGATATTTTTTGTATAAACATTGAAGAAAAAGTGTGTGTTGGGTATGTGTGTCCATCCTGATGTGAACCCCATATTAGTGAAGGCTTCCTTTTTTTTTTAAACAACTCTTATGGACATGTAAGCTTGTGTTCAGAAGAGTGTATATATCATTTCCACAATCTTACACACGACACGCAGCCTGACAGATTTTCAACACGGGAACATCCCATATGTCTTGTACCCGACATCTAGCACACCTTGCAGCCACTTAGCCACACAAGAGAAGCCACCATCCCTTGGTGTCTGGGGAGCTTGGTTGCCCCATGACCCCTTGAAGATTCCAAATTCCATGGATTTTGAAGACCCTTTGTAGTAAGCGAAGTATCAGCATAGCCTCTCTGTGTCCTCAGACTACATTAGTCACCCCTGTCTCTGTGCTTTGAATCATCCCAGACTACTTTCACATCTAATACAAATGACTGTTATGCAAACAGTGGTTACACAGTGTTACATAGGAAACAATGAGAAGAAAATCATGCAGGTTCAGTAGAGAGGTGTTTTTTTTTTTTTTTAATTTCCTATCTGAAGTTGGTTGAGCCTGAAGATGTGGAGCCTGTGGATAAAGATGGTCAGCTCTGTGGACGAGGTGTGTGCTGATCCGGCCCACGGATCAATCCGTGGGATGTACCTGGAGGGGGAACAGGGATGAATAGAACAAGGGGGAGACAAAGAGAGACTGAAGCAAGTTGAGAGAATCCAAGCAAGCCTTGTTTATTCAGGAAGTGGTCGCATCCTTTATAGGCCAAGGGCGGGTTGGTGGGACAGGAAGAGGCTATGGGGTGGTTTCTGATAGGTCATCGTCACATCCGGGTATGTGATGTAAGCAGGAGAGGATTATGGTTAATGTAGGCTGGTGCATCATATGCCCATAGGAGAGAGCAATGGGGCGGTCACCATCCTCCCTACAGGGTGCGTATGTGTACTACTGTTTTACCGTTTATACAGAGAGCGCTAAGTCTGAGTGTCCTTTGTGTTGATCCTTCTATCTGCTTGCTCCTGGACACGCTTCAAATGGTCCTTGGTTAGAATGCAGCCACCCATTGTGTTAAAGACCGCACTTCTCATAAGATGTTTAAGCAGAGACCAGAGACCAGAGGAGGTGAGGGCATGAGCCAAGGGGATATTGTGGAAAACAGCAAGTACGAAGGCTCTGCAGTAGAGTGTACTAGGTTGGCTTGAGGAACAGTGTTCCAGGAGCAGTGTGATAAGGAGCAGGGTTGTAGATAAGTCAACAGAGGCAGTGTCTGTAATGAGGTGGGAGAGTGTTTGGGACCATGGAGGCTGCTGTCTGGGGCCGGCTTCACCTGAGAGAGCTGGGACGCAATTAGAAGATTGGAGTGCAGGAGCTGTGTGCTCATATGTTAACTACCCTCTGTCTGCAGGCAGAGAGTGGTGGGGAGGCTGCAGGTAGGCTCTGGCAGTGAGCAGGTGTGAGATTGTGGTGGTGAAGACTGAACTGATAACCATGGAGGGCTAGGACGTAGTGGGGTCTCTAAAAGGTCCTGGAAGAGGAGTCCGGGATGGTGACGCTCCCTTCAGTAAGATGACAGTGTGCATGGGGAGTAGGTTGGCAGGTTTTGGGGAGGAATCAGGGCTCATGGAGATGCTCAGGCCAGGTGGAGAGTCCTGGGATGTCAGCCAAGTCCACCCTGGAAGCCTGGTAGGGGCAGCCTTTCTGTGCCCTGATCACGGCATTGTGCCCCCGCCTCTGAGCTGAGGGTGAGGGCACGTTTCCTGTGGGACACTGACTTGTCACCCCCAGGTCCAGGCAGCCTCAGAGGATCCTCCCTGATCACACCTCATGCAAGGTTCCAAGCTATCTCCTGTGTCTGTGCTGACAACTCTGACCACCGTCCCCTTGCTGGTTCTCTTTCTGCTTGGTAGAGCCCAGCTGCCCCCACAGCCAGCATGAGGGGATACTGCAGGAGGTGAGAACAGGGCTGGTGAAGGGCAGCAGCAGGGGTGCCCAAAGCAGGTGACACTGTAGCAGGATGTCAGAGGCAGGAGCGGGGGCTGACCATGCCCAGGGTACAGAGGACAGGGTCACTGAGACTTGCTGTCTGCAGGGATACCTGAGGAAGCAGATGTGGTAGTTTGGATGGTGACTTCCTAACAAAGGCCACGTGCCCCAAACACTGTCCTCAGAGCCCATGATTCACAAAGGACATTTGGTCCACTAGTGACACAGGACGTGTAGATGCTGCTTGAAAAGGCTTTACTGTGGCAGCAGCACCCACCTGTGACCACCACACCAGGCTCACCCTTCACAGTAAGGCCCTGTGAACATTATCAGGTGATCACATGCCTTTACCTCTGTCAGCCAGCTTTCCCACTGCTGAGACACAAGACTCCACACCCACAATTTAAAGAAAGAGAAGTTTAATTTGGCTTACAGTTCAGGAGAGTCAGTCTATGGTCAGCTGGTTCCAAGGCAGAAACATCATGGTGGAGAAAACTGTTCACCTGTGGCAGCCAAGAAAGAGAGAGAAGGAATGAGCAGGACCCAAGAATACACCCTTCCAGGTCATGCCGCGCCTCCCAGCTGCACATTCAGCTGTGAACTGAGCAATGCATGAACCCACTGATGGGTGTAGCATCTCCCAAGAGCCAGTCAGCTTCCAAACACATGAGACTTTGGGGGGAACATTTTACATCTAAACCATAACAACCTCTGATTTCTGTACACAAGAGTTTCCACTGGAGAGCTGAGCAGGTGGAGAACTTTTCCTTTTCCACATTACTAATATGCAAACTGATGGCTGTGACCATGACTGAGAGTTCTGGTTTCTGTCTGTGTAGGAGACGAAGGTAAAAGAAGAAGTGATGGGAAAATCAAATGCTCTTGTCAGTGGTCAGCTTTAATTTGTATAGAGCAACTTAGGTGTTATCAAATAATAGAGAAATGTGCTATTTGTAAGACATTTGAAACAATACAAAAATATATCAGTATTTTGCCAGGAATTCCTCAGGCAGAGAACTGATACCTATAATACATAAACAACTAAAAAATATTAGACCTTCCAAAATGAAAAACCCAATCAAAAAATAGGCAACTGAAATGAATAAAGAATTCTCAAAGGAAGAAGTACAAATGGCCGATACATACATGAAGAAATGTTCAACATTACTGGCATTAGAGAAATGCAAATTAAAATAACCCTGAGATTCAGTTTTACTCCAGAAAAAATGGCTGTCATCAAGAAATCAAATAATAACAAATATTGGCAAGTCTATAGAGAAAAAAGGACATTGTTGGAGAAGTATAAAATGGTGCAACCACTGTGGAAATCAGTATGACCATTCCTCAAAAACTAAACTGGAAATTCTATTTGACACAGCTATTCCCTTCTGGAATCTTCTCAAAAGAGCTAGACATTATACCACAGCAATGTGTGTATATCCATGTTTACAACAGTGCAATTCATGTGGGTAACTCTTAGAAGCAGCCTGTGTGTCCATGAAGATGGATGGATAAAGAAAATGTGGCATGTATCACAGTGGAGCACCACTCTGCCACAAAGAGTGGCTCCAGTCTCTCGAGGGCATTTAAATGGATGCACTTTGAGACCACAATGTTAAGGGAAAGAAGTAAGACCCAAGCTTAAATGCTGCATGGTTTCTCTTATAGGAGAAACTCAAAATATAAATAAAAGTAAAAATAAAAGATAGATAATAGGAATAAGAGATAGACTTTTTTGCAAAAGAGAAAGGGACCAAAAGAGATGGAGGGAAGGGAGAGAGAAGGAAGAGGGAAGTGGGAAGTGAAAAAAGAATTAAGATGTGTTATATACATGTACACCTCCGCACAAGAAATGCCATCATTATATGCTGTAAACATATATTAATTAAAAATAAAAATGGAAGAAATAAAAGAGATACACTAAGTAAAATACTCAACTCTCTCTTCCTTCCCTTGGTTGCCTCTTGCCAGAGTAGCCGGGTTTGTTACTGGTGAGTGTGGTGCAGTGTTTGGCCAGGATGTGTATTTCAGGGGAGGTGAACTCTGGAAGGAGGAACGTATTTGAAGGCCCAGCCACTGGAAGGTGCCTGCAGTCAAGCAGTGCTGGCCAAGCAAGATAAAATGTATATAAGGGAAAATATAACTTCCAGCTTACTGGATGTCAGATATGGTGAGTTTTTGTCCCTGGAAATTGAAGAATGAATTCCTAAGGTTAAGAGTAGGAAAGGTTTATTGGGGAATGAGAATAGCTCCTGAGAGATAGGAGGGGTCCTGGAAGTGGGTTGCCACTGAGGCCACTTCTTTGAGAATGTTTTATAGAGCAATATCATGAGGTGGGTACAAAATCACGAGGTGAGTACAGAGTGGGTCAAACTGTAATCAACCCATGAGATTACATGCACAGCCGCTTAGCTCATCATGATCCAGCAGAGAGCAGGTCATGTAGCAGGGTGCATGGCAAGAACAAGGCATCTTGGGGAAGGAATGGGTCCAGATGCTCTCTGGTCATCCACCTGGGTGACTGAGGTCTATCTGGACTTTACTGGACCAGCTGATGCGTTATAGCAGAATTCCAAGTTATTGCTTATCCCGTAGGGGAGGCTTGCAGGTCTCACCATTCCATCTGCATCTGGAGGCCTGGTCTTCAAGTGTTCCTGCAGCGACAATTCTGATGGCTCTATCCTTTCTGCTGGTTTCCTTGACAGCCCCGCCCCTCCCTGGCTGTGTATTCATTTCTGTCTAACCTAGCTGCCTATAGTAAAATTGTCACACATGAACAGTTTGATCCTTGGTAAGTCTTCACCTGGCCACCAGGCTGCTGGCCAAGTGTCAGCTTTCCTTCTCTGTGGCCATGGGCTGCCTGCCCAGACTGAGTCACATTAGTTAGGATAATTTATATTATAACTGCTGTTTTCTGATTTCTTGTCCTTTTTTTGAAAAAAGGAAGGA